TTTGGGGAATTTTTTGTAATTAATTTTTTCATACAGGAAAGACCATATTTTTAACTGAAAATGAGTTGGTTGTTTCCCCATAACTTCACACTACCTAATGCATTGTTCAAATTTCATCTGAATCTGAGGATGAGGCAAAATTTTAATTTAATTTGTGTGTGTTGATTTAATATGGATTGACCCCTTGGACAAGTTTTTAAAATTATCCATAAAAGAGTAATAATATTAAAAGCTAGATAGAAAAAATTAAAATAAAAAAAAAAAAAAAAAAAAACAAAATTTGTGACCTATTACCGCATACAGCCCCAAAACTGTTTTCTATTTTTAAACTTAAAAACCTTGGTCCTCTTCTTCTTGCATATTCACGAGTAAAAAATTTGTTGGAAATTTTGAAAATAAAAATCTATAATCTTGGATTTAGGGAAACCCTTATTAGATCACGGATTTATATTGTGCAGCGCAATTAACTCCGATGAACATTAAAGTTTACCGCTAAACTTATTATTCTAACATAAACATATTTAATGCTCAAAAGCAAAAGAATTCATTGGTCGTTTGTGATTCTGTTAATAAATTTCACTTTTCTGTCGAAACAATTATTTTCTACGGATTTAAAATGTGTACACACAACTCGCTATTCACACAGTATCGAACCAACGTTACTTATTTTAGTTACCAGAAACCATATTTTCACAAGATCTTGAAACTAGGTGGGTCTCAATAGCAACCTTCTCACATGAGTAGTATATTTGTAATGAATACAAGTTAAACACTTCCAACCAAACTGAAGAGCGAAAGCCACAGTTGCCAAGGCTTATGATGCCTATACATCATTCCTTTACGCGTGAAATGTATGGGAGAGGAGCGGGAGGCACTTCACTTTTTTGAAAATTAGAAGTTTTAACCCTTTAAAGATTAAGTTTCATGAATTTAATGGAAATGAGACACGTGCCACATATTTTGTTCCATATGAGCAATTAAACCAAGAAAGAAACTTGAGCCGTCAAGAACATCTTTTCACATTTTTAAATATCTCTCATTGTAGGATACCACAAGTAGAATATGAAGAGGTATGTAATGCAGCCCAGCAAAAAATGGCTTATTTGCAAGAGAAAATCTCATCTTGGGACCTTGAATTATCGAAAACATGGACCAGTTTTTTCTCTTTTGCACTTCTCCACAGACAGAATTGTGCACAACTTTTCCCATTATGTTATGGTTTTATTTTATATGATCTTAGTAAATCAGGCCACAGCAGTTTTTGAAAAGTGTCATTTTCAGCATGTATCATTTCCTTAAATGTAATGAAATTCACCCATATTTTAAGAAAATTTAATCTCACAGAATTTATTCAATTTCACAATTAAGTCCAAGCAGGCTGTTGAGGGCTATGAGCAACTACAACAGGGGCGGGGCCCGTACAAGGATGGCAAAGGATTTCACTTGTAATGCTTATTAAAGGTACTTCTGGCCACTTGCCTGAAGTGATCATGGAAATCATAGAAGCAGCTGATAAAAACTTGCCTCTCTGAATTCTCCCTCCCTTTCAATAATGGACAATATTGAATGCATATAGAATTATATTTAGAAATGATCCCAGTTGCTTGTATCATACAACCATTACAAGCCAATAACCCGCCAGCAAAAATTCACTCTCAACCCAATAACTTTCCCCCCCCAGAATGTAACTTTCAAACTCCGAGAATCAAAAAGTAGGGCATTCCACACTTTCAAACCGTTTTCTCATAAGCGAGGAATTTCTGAACATAAAATTTGCATGCGCTAACCCGATCAATATGGAATGAATATACTTCAGTATTCTGAATACGCAAATGAAATTCCATTTGAATGAACAGCAAGAACTTCTACATAGTAAGCCTTATTGCTATATCCAACTGCAAGATAAAATTAAAAACCTATTTTGAAAATGTGCTGTAACCATTAACAGCAAATTCATATTACAACTTGCCTACAACCTGCAAATTGAATTCTTTAAAACCATTTCGTATATATTTCATTATAATCAAATACCCCCAGACCCAAATTTCCATAAGAAAAGCCGGTCACTGTCTTGAAATTAACTGACCCAACATTGGATAATTCTATACTTCACTGTATGGGTGAAATGGGATAGGATATAGGGCGTATTTTCGCAGGTTTTTCGTTGAGAATGGTTGAGATGAGAAACAAGAATCCACAGGCCTTGTGTTAGATAGGTACTTAGATAGAGGACTTTATTTTTTTTTTGGAGGGACAGCTATTGAGAAAGTTGTGGTTGAAGTGGGGTGAGGGTTTGAAGCGGGCCCTCCAGAATAGAGCCTCGCGGAAAACCAAACAGTATGAGGGTCAAGGCGTAGGTTTCAAGAGCGGAAGATATATTTTTTTCGAATGTTATGCTTAGGGTGTGAAGGAGACTTATAAGACGGTGGCTTGAAACGAGCCGATGATCCTTACCGGGTTAACGGACAATGGAAACGCGAACGGTTTTCCAGGCTACGGGGAAGTAGGATTATTGGAAACGGGCGTTTAATATAAGGAAGAGTAAGTCTTTTGCATTCTTTGTTAGGTTTCGTTGTTGGGAGGGGAGGACTCTATCGGATCCAGCAGACTTTAAACAGTCCTTGATGTTGAGTAGTCTTCCTACTTCGAGGTCCATTTGTTTTGCTGACATGGGAATAAGGAAGGGGCTTTCAGATAATGGAGGATAACATTGTCTTGGAATAGAGATATTTCGGGGGAAGGAAGCGGTCGTCCAGGTTTTGGGAAGAGAAATGGGAGTTGGTTTTGGAGTTAAAATAAGGTAAATTGTGTTTGTTGGGATTGGGGTAATTCGGGTTGGGGCATTGTGTACAGCCTTGATCACATTGTAATTGTTGTTAGGACTGCGGTTATCGTTAAAGAAATTGTATTTGTTTCTCATTTTTTCGTAGAAATACTTGTGCTTGACTTTAAAGTTGTTTGGTCTTTTTGTTATAGTCTCGTCTGTACTTGTAAAAGCGGCATTGAATTTATTGGTTGCTTCTTATTGTCATTTTTTCGTCAAGTGGAATGAGGTCTCTAAAAGCACTTTGAAGATTTTTTAATAGAATTGTCTGATATGGTAGGTTTTAGGTGCACTCTGCACCTGCCTACTGCTTGGGTTGCGGGGATTTTAGGAGGAACATGGATATTTTTGGATAACATGCATTCTAAGGAATTACTGTTAGTGGTGGGTTTTGTGGAAGGTTTTGGTAGATATAGATGGTCGTTGAGGAGCAGGTAGGTGTCGGAGATGTCACAGGTAATATTTAGGTTATGGAGTAGTGGAATGTGGAAAAAGTGAATAGTTATATCAAGGATATCGTGTAGAATATCATTGAAGTTGTGAGTAGGTCCGAGGGGATTTTGAGTACGATTTAGGAATTATTGTCCCGAAATCTTGTACTACAATAGTCCGATGGCACTTGTCTTGCCACCTCATGTTGTGGATTTTCTATTGGGGTCCCTAAATAGGATAAAAATGGGACATGTAAAGTAGAATATTGAAGTCTTAAGAAGGGATAGGGATTTTGCGATTATTGCATGTAAATATGATAATTATTAGGGTTGTTGGTGACCCGATCATTTGGCTGTACATTCCAGAGCTTTAAACGTTCCTCGTGGTCAGGGCTAGGATTCAGTGAAGAGTTAATTCAATTTAGGATTTCCATGATCGTTATGTGATTAATTTTGGTGATAATGATGCCTTAGCCTCGAAGGGTTTCGAGAGTGCTTTAAGGTCAGAGAGGATTTTCTCAAACGTAGAAGTGTGGAGAAGCGAGAAATGTTTTTTAGGTCGCGGGTAGTGGATTGGGATTTTTGTGGTTTGGAGGTGTGTTGTAATTTGAGACGGAAGTGTGATATTTGTGAAGATGGAACTCTAGTTCTTAAGTCTGGAAAGGATTGGGACATGATTGATGGTGGTGTGAGAGAGTGGAGTTGTTTGTGAGGGTCCTTCTTGCTTGTAAAATGTAGGGTGATGAAGAGTATAGTTGACGCATTTGGGAGTGAAGGGTACGTCAGCATCAGTTTGAATTTGAGATGGATATTGGTCCCACCACAGGATTGGGAACGTACAGCACAAGACGGAGGTCTTCGCATCAATAAGTGGTAGTGAGGGAAGTTTAAGACGGATTTTACACTGTGGGATCCTATCGGTTCGTGTTCGGAACGGTTTTGTAGTCTTCCAGTCTTATTTTGTGTTACACAATGTTTTCCGAGTGATGAAACTGAAATCTACTGTTCCGTCTACCAATGTGGGTAAGGTATTTCATCAAACCAACTTGGGCTAAGTTTTTCAAACAATTTTTTTCTATTATATGGGCTTCCTTATTTGTTTTCATGCAAAATAGTCTTATTTAGATTTTACGAACATTTTGCACAGGTGATCTTAAAAATACGCGAAAGTGTTGCTGTTTGTGTGATTTTTTTAAAAACTATATCCCCCTTAAAGCACAATTTAAGTGCGCTCTCTTTCAATATTTCACGAAGTTCTCTGAAACGATGAGGAAATTCACTAGTTGAGAAGAGCATTTGTAAAGCCCACTACTTTTGTATTATATGTATTTTGATTAATTCCGAATGCCCAATTCAGCTCAGAGTACTAATTGAATATTAAAATTGAAAATTAGTCTTGAAGAAGCAGAGCAGAGCTTGACCAGGTTGGTGGGCAGCGGCAGAGCTGGGTGAAGAGGGTGGTGGTGGAGCTAGACGTCACTATTAAATAGGGTGTAAATAAAATTACTTCAATTTTGCACTTTGAATACAATTAATTCGCTTTCTTGTCTAATAAACAATTGTATGAAATCTATGGCCAGGTAACTACTGCCAGGAAGAAAAAATGTGCATCAGTTTGTGCTCCCCTAATGATTTTTAAAACTTTTGTATTCTTTTTAAAATTTGTTTAGGAAATTTTGAGAAATGGAATTTCGTTTTAGGTGAAGGTGTTTTATAATTTGTGTATTTAATATTACATATTCAATCCGATTTTACAAATTTATTACATATTCTTAATGTTTTCAGTATGCATATTTTAACATTTCATACTACAATTTTTTCCAGTCTGTATCATCATTAAGGAAATGAAGAGGGGAAAGAAAATTTTGTTACCAAAACAAATTACATTTATTGAACATTTTTTACATTTTTTCATCTGTACAAAAATATCACCAAGTCAAAAATTGCTTCTTGCACCTTAGTTTTCTTTCTCACACAGGTACTCTAAGAACCTCATAACATTTTCCATGCAAATTTTCCTCTCTATTTTCCAATAAAAAAATTAATGTTCAATTTTAGAACTTTAAAGAGTCTTCTACTTCTACATTTTGAAATGAACAAAACATACAAAATAGATGGCATAATCATATCTTTTTGATGATATGTAATGTAAGTCCTTGTGTAACATGCAAAGTTTGCATCTATTGTCAAGATGTAGGTCTTTATTAAAAAAACATTGAAATTTTGTTTGAAAATCCAATACATTTATTTGGACCATTTGATTGCTTTCAATCAGTAGTACTGATTGGTTGTGTGTCAATAAGATTCTTCTCAAAGGAAGTAATTTGAAGACTTTCTGCATGTTCACTGCTTTTACTATTTTACACTTACAAGAAATTAAACTATTTTGAAAGATTGGAGATTTTTTGTATTAAAATTCCATTTATAGATGTCAGAAACCTAATTCTCAAAATACTGGTACTATAAGCCTACTTTTATTTAGCAGTACAGAAATTGGATTTTTTTGTACTAGTACTATAATATGAAGTACCAGAGAAAGAAAATGTCAAAAAAATGCAATTGATGTAGTCTTAACTACGCCAGCAAAAGTTCTGCAATTTTTAATACGCCCTGATCTAAATTATGTTAATTGTTTCTACTTATGCCATAATAGTAATAATAAAAAAATAATAACATTAACATTAATAGGTATATTGTTATGACTTTCCACTTCTTGTGTACTGATAAATCAAGTTGAACAATTATTTAACTGAAGCATAGAGAGGTAAACTTCCCTTAACATTAGTCCAATCTTTGACAAAGATGAGATGAAAGTAACTTAATGCAAAAGGTTTATATGTAAGAGAAGTAGCTGACACAATATACGCTATTCTCATATATAGATAATATCACAATTTTCTGTAATATTTGTATGTGAGCATCAGCATTAATGCTGAATGGTTGAAAGTAAGATTGCTCTACAAAAGCTACACATTTACTGGATGCAGAGTTTGAGGAAAAAAATGGCTATGTATATCACAATATTATTCATTATTTAGTAGAAGTTCATAGTTTTCATTTATAAATTTTATTTACAAGCTGTAAACTTTATGAATATAAATTTAACAAATTACAATAATAGTACAATATATTTAAGTATATTACATAAGGAGCTTGATTCAAAATGAAGTTATGCTTACTTCCTATTTCATTTAAATTCAGGTATCAATTGCATTATTTGGCATTTCTTCAAATATCATATTTTAATTAAAATGTTTTTGCAGGTAATCAAGATTCTTAAGGATCTTATTGTGCAAGACAAAACTGTACAAATTTCCTGCAGAGCACTTGAAATAGAAATTACGCAGTCTTCTGATTTTGCTCAAGTGACATTGATGACCAGTTTGAGCATTTGTCTCTGCATTGTAACAGATTTCATCAATAATTTTTTTAGGTACCCTAATATACACTAATATTACCCACACAACTTTGACTCCCACCAGCAGGAGATCAAAGTTTGTTACTTTTGAAATTGTCTTCAAAATTTATTCTTCTACTATTACATGTAAAGCTGCCATTACACCAATTCCGAACAAAAGGGAAGCTAGTTGTGTGAAGGATTCTCTTGGGTTCTCCTCCTTCAAGAGGTCTGGCAACACTGTTACAAGTGCTATGTGAAGAAAGCCGCCAGCGGTAAAAGGCAGCATCCATGAAGTACGTGCCTCTGCAACACAAATGTAGATAACAATGAAACAAAAAGCTTCGAAAACATCGTTTCAGTAAAGACACACCAAAGTATGACAACACAGAGACTGATTGATTTATTATCCAAATTAGGATTATGATAATGTAAATAAACTGAACATAAACTTATTTTTGTTAATTAGACAAGTTTGTGTCATGAAGAAAATTAATTAACTTCATTACAAAATGAATTTGATGATCATCAATGCAAAAGTAATATTTTTAATATTATTTTATGTTCCTAAGTACTAGGCTTTTAGATCTCTATCTTCTTTTAAGGTTTTAACACTTTCCCCTGAACCGAGATCAAACGCTGACCCATTCCTTTGATTTGCCTCTGGGCACAAAATATGTTTTATCTCTTTGTGACTGTCACATATGGTTGTTACCAGATTTTTACAAATAAATAGAACCAGCTAATTATTATGTTTTATTATACTTGCTTTTACTTTATAAAGTAAACAACAATATTTCACTTAAAAAACAAATATTATCTTTGATAAACACCTATTGTGTTAATTTTACTCTTCAGAACATGCTCAGTTCTCTTTGCATGTCAGGTTATCCCCCTAAAAGTTTGGTGCATGTATAAGAAATATCAATAATGCAATGAAACATACCTATTGTCCCAGCAGTGCCACTAATAAATACAGCTGTGAGTGCTCCAACGATCCCTGCAGCAGCAGTTGACACTTGCGCTTTGGCAGCATCCCATCGGGTGAAGCCAGAACGCAAAAGAATTGCGAAGTCTCCCACTTCGTGGGGTATTTCGTGGAGAAGAATGGCAAACGTCGTCAGGACTCCATGGGGTAAAGAGACAAGAAAACTTCCACCGACGGCTAGGCCGTGTGTAAAATTATCAAAAGAATTTGCCATGAGATTTAAATATCCACTGACCTGCAACATAACATTTCAAAGTACAATTAATTAAGTTTTCTGACCAAACTTACAGCTTTGTTTCTCCCCCTTGAAAATTCACAAAAGAAATTCAAACAAGAAGCCCAATCAATATGCCAGCATCTTAAAAGATTATAAATATTTTTTGAGAAATACTATAGGAATTTGCCTATTCATTCAGGAATTAGTCATTTTAGTAAAGGATAAAGAGAATGGATAGCTTATATTTTTACGCAATTCAATTCTGTAAATTTGATAAAAGTTATTATCTTTATGTACATCAAATGCAGCTGTCACTAACACATAAATTAACTTTCAGTGTAATGCATTTATCTTCCTTCAACTCATTTGAAATCATTCATGAGAAAGTTTTTGAACACTGTGTTTACTCAAATAAAAAAAGGGGAAATATTTCAACTAAAAATAGAGATTATCTTCCAAACATGATTATTAATTAGATTAATGAACTTTTGTTTAATAATATCCATCAACCAAAAATGCAGATGACATTCAAAATTTAAAAGAATTGTAAGGACATTAGCAAAGGTAGATAAGACCTAACTCGTCGGCATCACTCTTCAAAAAGTTCAAATTCTTCCCTTGAGAAGAATGTAGATACAACAAAGAAAGAAGTTCATGAAGAGAGAACGTCTAAAAGTAATCAGTTAAATGCAATCAAAATATACACCAGCTTGACAATCATATCTACACACCTATTTATCAATATTACATTGACAAAAAGTGGTGGATCCCAGCTGTGCCATGGGGGCAACGACTTCAACCAAAATTTTTTTCTGAAGTTTTTCTGTTACATAACTTTACTTATGTTTTTTCTGTTCAATGAATTGACTGCCACAGATGGTAATTTACGCCAATTTTGAGGTATAAGTTTAGTTGCTCTGAGCATATTCCGGGAGATCCATGTTCAATTCCTGTGTGTGACAGTCAATTTTTTGAACAGTCAAAACGTGATCTATAAAAATTAATTATTATTATTATTATTATTATTATTATTATTATTATTATTATTATTATTATTATTATTATTATTACTATTATTATTATTATTATTATTATTTTTATTATTATTATTTTTATTTTTATTATTATTATTTTTATTATTATTATTACTTAGATGTATTACTATCCTTTTACAAGATTCAAAGAAAGTTTTGAAACATGCTAGCAACAAATAAAGAAAATAGAATTATTCCCCAATGCCAATCAGAATTGTCCTTCAGATTTACTTCATCCATTGAGTAAATGCTGAAACATACTGGAAGTGCCTATATTTGCTCTCAACAGTATGAGTAGTATTTTTTCTTCAAAACATCATTTACACATTTTGGTTTTTATGTAAATAGAAAATAATATTAAGAAAATTGAATGAATAAACAAAATTTGTACTTTCAAATAATCTCACTTACATGAATAGAAGTTGTTCTTTGACGTGGAGGATTTGCGTTCTTTTGCAAAGTAAGGGGATCATTCTCAATATGTCCATTGCCCACAATGGTTTTCTCAGAGTAATTATTATTATTGTTGTTGTTATTAAGAGGAGCCACAAATCCATTAGCAATTGCAGCTTTTGTTGTGGCACCTTCACATTGCTTAGAAGCTGATTTGTCATCCTCCTTCTCTTCCTCATTTTCTTGCAAGAATGCAAAAGTTTTTTCCAAAACAATAAATATAAGGAGACCAGCTAGAATCCATAGGCCCTTGTTCATGGATGGGTGTCCATCTGGAATGCAGATAATAACAGTAATAAATATCAAAGAAGTTAATACTAATTAAGAAACGTACTTTGAAAACAAAAGAAAAAAAATCTTTCAACTATTTAGGAGGTAAAGCTTCTCTTTTTACAAACAAATTTTATCAACCCACATTACTTTCCCAGTAAATATTGCTGAGTAACGTCTGCAACTTCTGAAAACTTTCACTCTCAATTACAGGGTGGTAATCTTACATTTATCAATGGCAATTGAATAATTTCGTTTTCCAATACTCATTTTTTAAAACTCTCTATGTATATTTGGCTATAAAAGAAGCGCAACCATTTTCCTCCAATTTTCTAATTTTCACATTTTCTAATTTGTGATTGAATTAGAGTATTCCAACATTTTAAAGGTATGAAAACAAATTTATTTACCAACATCCGCCTGTTCAACCCACACTTCAGGCAAGAGATGAAGGAAGACATCTCCAAGAAGACATCCTACAGCAAAGCTCAGTAATACTTTTAGGGTGTTTTTGCCAGCACCTGAAACACAAATAACAATGTAATAATTAATATTCTTTCATGTTCTATTATTCACAAAGTATACTTAAGTTGTAGACAAAGTACACTGTTTTATAACAAGGTAGTTGCTACATAACATTGTAAATGGTATCAGAAACATTTTTCAGCATTTCCAACTTTTTCAATAATTGTGTGCTCAAATAATACTAGTTATATTTTTGACTTTAGTGATGTTGAGAAAAGGTAAAACAATCATATATGAGAAATAGAAGCAAGATTATCTCTATCGCTCTGGAATTGGAAACCAACATCACACAGAAGATGAGGAAGACCGAGAAGTACAAGGATGGAAGGAGTGGAGCAGGTGCTTCTTTGCTAGAAGAGAATTAACTGCAGAAGACTGCAGTGACAGACTTAAATGGAAACTGTGAGAGATGCCTAGTAGTGTAAAATACTCACAGTACTACTACTAGAAATAAAAAACATACACTCCACATTTTCCTAGCTCTTTGACAACAAATTATATTGTCAATTGTGTCAAATTAATAAAATTACTATTTACAATTTAACTTCAATAAATACTTCTGAAATATCCTATTATTGCAGTATTTTAAATACATTTTTTCACACAATTATAGGCAATGATAATTACATCAGTTGCAATTAATTGACTAATATGCAAAAACTAGCAAGACTAAATAACCAATGAAGTTAAAATATGTCTTCCTAGACTTTGGATATAAGTAGGAGTTCCAAATGTAACAATCTCCTTATGTAGCCAATACGCGATCTTGACATGAATAGTGAAGCATGGGACATAGAATATTCTAGTACAATAAAAAGTATGCCATCATCTCTTACTGTATTTAGGTTAAATAATTATATTTAAGAAATCCATTATTAATGGAAACAATTGATGCATCTTGAAAAATATTGGCAAGCACTACATATTTCAACCAATATCTTTTTCAGTAAAGAAACATTTTTAACACGTAAGAAGACTGTGTCGATAAACATTAGATATTTTATTTTATTATTCAAATTGTTTCATATTTTGGAAATTAAATTTGAAAAATAATAGGTGGGTAAATAAATAATTTTTTGGAGTGGGATGAAGATTATTAGTTTTCTAAGCAATATTACCAAATGTCAACACATTCACGATTCCGAAACTTGAATGGCTCAAAAATTGTTTTAATTTTCACCAAATACATGGACCGTTTTCCCGCAATCTTTTTGTTTCGTATGACACCATGCTGCATGTCCGCCTTCGCAGTAGATTGCAGACCAGTCGGTGGCTCCCGTATAAATAGATGGAATAGTAAAGGGCAGGAGTGGGCCGTTCCTGTCAGCCTCTTGCAGAAGGCCACACTGTCATTCAGTCTGGCACAGACGCGTCGTGCGCGAACAGGGGTGGGCCATCGAGGGAACTGCGGCATCTCCAGAAACTCGCACCGGTAAGTACCGCAGCCCATGCAATTTCATGAGAACAGGCGTATCTACGGTAGGGCAGACATCGCACGTGTTATAAGCGCCACTCACAAGGAGTGTTATTTAGCTTTCGTCATTTACGAAAAAAAGTTTAATTTTTCCAATTATGGAATTAAACTTTACACAAAAGATGAATTAAAATAAACATTTTTTTCGAGATAAATTGTTTACGGAAGTTTTTAAAAATAATCGGAATCTTATTCACACTAGTGTTTCAACAACTCGTACCCGCTATCCGCTAAAACAATTATCAACAACCCTTAATTTGAAGTATCCTGGCAGGGGGGGGGGATTCTACTCTTGCCACGGGCGCCTGAATATTAGATACGCAGCTGTCCAAGAATTACGTATTGTGGGCGGTTAGGAAAGTGACAGGTGAAAATTGTCTTGGCAGGAGAACGTTTTCGCACTCAACAAAGTTTTATCTGCTGGGCAATGACAGTGAATTACTCTATACTTTTACTTTTAATCTTTACACTATACTTCATGGCGGCTAACTTGTGAACCATCTTAATTAAATTTGTTCCAGAAATAGTATACTATGCCGTTTTTCTCAATATATTCTTCCACTTATTCCAAGATGATTTGAGGTCTGACACTTTTCTTCTGCACCGATGGTCCGCCGTTTTTTGTAAGTTCACTATGTAAAGAAACCTGACTGGAGTAATAAACAATACTTGCTATACAATGATGCATTTGGATGTTGTTCGAAATACAAACGTATTATCTCTCGGGTCAAATTCCTTAACTACAATGTAGTCTCTATGACGAACTATTTCATAACGAAAAACTCTTATTACTTTGAATGGTTTACCTTATAATGACTAGTTTCTCTACCTTATAACTATAGAATTCTCTATAACGAAATAATCAATCTTTGCTTAGAAGTCGATAAAAATTTTCTTTAGATTTTCAGACGGTTTCGACAAATCAACAGGCACTTTATGCACCTGTAGCAAATTAGCAAAAGTTTGATTGTTTTACGAAAATTACCTCACCATATCCAAAGATGTGGATATAAAATACATAAGAAAATGCAGATAAAATCTCGAAAAATGATCAAAGATAAAAAAAATTTAAAATGGTATTGTCTTGCTATTTATAAGAATATAGAAGTTGTTGTAATCTAATTGATAGAAGCATGTTAGCTCTCTACAGAATAAGAATAATTTTAAAAAAAGTAATTTGGTTGAGAGAGAGAAAAAAAAGTTGAGGCCCATTATCATCTCTTGTCCCCGGGTCCGCCAATGTCGTACAAATCGCGGATTCTAATTACACAACATATTGGAGGGAGTAAATTACAGCGTAATAGAATATGGATTATTCACTTTTTCGCTTTATCAGTGACCCACAAAATGAGATTTTCGTCAAAAGATCATTTTTTTGATGCAGGATTACACTACTTTCTCAATACTTCATAAGAAGTACACCAGAAAGTAAAAATCATATAATAAAGAAACTTTTCTGGGAATAATTGTACTTGTGCACATCTTTAGCAACAACGAATTTGTTACAAGTGTTAACGGATGGCGGACTGTTATAAATCCTTAACGGGCGCCGGCTATTTAAAATGGTTTTTCATTCTTTTTATTACATTATTTCGTCAATAACGCACCCTGTTACGATTGATTGATTATTTTGTGTGTCCGGGCGCGTTAACTTCTAAAGTCCTTTTCTTCGTAAGTGATAGTGCATGTTTTTAATACGAGTGGTGACGGTGATCTCTCCCCGTTGGACGGCAAGATTCGGCGTCCACCTACACGTCAGCTAGCGGAGACCCCCCCCCCCCCGACATCTCCAACCAGCGGGGCATCGTCCGAACCCAGACAAGCTCTAACTTCCCGGCGGGTCTCCCGGCAAGTGTGGTACGAAAGGCGTACCATGACGAAACGAAATAACATTCCATGGCGCCACAGACTCCGGATGATGGCAATTGAAGTGTGTGTGTGTGTGTGTGCGCGTTTGTTTCCAGCCGGGAGATGGCGCAGGACAAGAAGCAGCTGCAGCAGCAGAAGAGCGTGGAGACGGAGGCGCCGCCAGGGCTGCGCGGGGTGTTCGCGGCGCGGAGCAGTTTCATCGCGTCGCAGGACGCCCTCCGCAAGGGGCCCTCGCCCTTCTTCCTGCCCCCCGGCGCCACCGTGAGTACACGACAGACGTTACTATAAGAAGGGACCGCTTTGGCAGCTACTGCTGTACACTGAGATTACTATAAGAAGGGACCGCTTTGGCAGCAACTGATGTACAGAGATTACTATAAGAAGGGACCGCTTTGACAGCTTCTGTTGTACACTGAGATTACTAAAAGAAGGGACCACTTTCACAGCTACTGCTATATACTGAGATTATTGTTAGAAGGGATTGCTTTGACAGCTTGGTTACTGCTGGCAGCATAACTGCAGGTTGTCTTTACACTCAACTAATCTAAGCCCAACAAACATTCGATTTCTGGATTTTAGTTATTAATGTACAAATTATTTTACACTGACGTTGAAACTGCATGAGGCGGATGTAGACTTTAATAGAGGACCATCATTGGGAAACTTTCCAAAATTGTAATGCTTTGTTATTACCAAAACTGTATTTGAAATGGTTTGACGCCTAGATTTCGTGTGCGTTAAAACTCCTTTGAAATAGTGTCACATAGAATATTTTAATTTGTACATAATTTAAGGGGGCCTCTGAGTCTTCTTCATTGTGGTACGTCGCGTGTCGACTATTTATGAAAACACTTGGAATGCATTGTTCTCGTAACCACAGAACACATCTGAGGAATATCGCGATTGTTTAGGATGCTGATCCGACATATTTCTGCTGGTGATCAGGGTAGTCATAGATCATAGTAGTCTACCTACGAATTCCACTCCGGCAAATGATATACTTTCATATTTACGCAGATCCCCATGAACCTATTGCTCTTCTTGAGGGATGTCTATTTTTGTTTATATATGCCATAGTTGGACAATTTTTGTGGGCTTGAAATCGCTCAATGGAAAAAACAAACAAACAAACAAATATATTGTGATTTCGCTACGTTATCGTGTTCCATCAGAGAAGAAACGAGTGAATTGCACAAAGACCGTTAACGAGTTTCGCGGCCCGCAGAGCAGAAACGTACAAGATTATCTACAGCAAACTACCGCTTGTCACGCGACCGCCAACATCTGATCATTAGCGAGATGTTCGCTGCCGGCAAAAGTGCCTGTACAGCGAACGGAAGCAGCAAGGACTCGCTGCGCTACGTTTTCGCAACAGACTGCGCGAGCAAGAAACCGTGAAGTCACGCATCACCGGACATAAAAGTCTGCTTTAACGCGGTTATCAAACTTGCACTGTTTACACGCCGCGAAATGGCAATTTCCTTCAGGAAGGGTGACAAATCAACGAGTAAAGCAAAACTAGCTTAAGCACAGCCGAAATAATTCTTAAGACAGCTCTCGTGATTTTTTAAAATTTTTGTTATTATTTAAGGTTGCGTCATAGGTCATTAGCGCCCACTATACATTAATGATATGGTTAACAGTATTATGTGATACGGTGATAGTGAGGGGATCGTGAAAGGACGACCACAAATACAAATATGCCCGAGGTGGGATTAGAACCCCCGATCTTTCAGTCCGAAATCGCTACGGCAGAACTGCCTTAACAATATCGGCCATCCGAAGGACAGGAAATATTACTTTCCCAATTTCCTTGGCTTTAACATTTATTTCAACGTGTGAAAAATGATAATTGTGGCACCTAGATTCGGATTAATTGTGACCCGGACAGGGGCGTATTAATACTTTTTCTATCTGTGGCGATTCAATTTCAGTGGCAGTCTGAAAGCGACTCAACCGTTGCTCGCCTTTCTTGGGGAGTCTTTTCTCTGAGCGAGGGAGCATCGTCGCTACCTGCTTGGTAACGGGCGGTTCTCCGAACAACGTTATGCTCCTGCTGTACACTCACGTTTCTTCCATCAAGTTACGCTCACGGACACGCCCGATATCGAAAAATTACAAACTCAGTTCTTGAAAAAATTGGAGTCATCGTGATACGACTGAGATATTTTTGTCCCATTTTGTTGTGACTACGGATGCTCAGGTTTACCCGGGCGGATTGAAAACTTGACAAGTATTCCTACCGTGTACGTTGGCCCCTTTACGACGCTGCACTGCCCAAAGAAGCTACAAAAGGAGACCGATGCAATGATCAGAGCGTGAGGTCGCGGGCGTCCCAACGGCTACCGGTTTGTGGCCACCCTCCTCTAGCCCGCAACATGCCTCTCTCGTGGATCACAGAGCGTTTTTGTGTTCACCGAGCCACCGGAATTCCTCGCTCGTTTCACGGCCGCCGGAACCGGAATAACAAATGAAGCGCACGAAGAAGGAAGGGCAGGATGCGGTGGGAATAACAGCAGGTGCGTTTCACCCTAAAAGATTGTTTTGCGATCGGGTACAAGAGCCGAGGATTTGTCAGCGGCAAACAAATGTACACTCGTCCGGAACCAGTCGAATTCAAACACACAACTGGTACAACTAAAGCAACGCCTTGAATATTTGGGATGAGCGAAAGCACTGACGGTTATGATCATAAGTCGAATATACGTATATTAGAGATTAGCTTCTTTATCTGTCAGTACTGAATGAACGTACGTTACATATTTAAGGAACAATAAAATATTCAAATTAATGAAAATTAATAACTTTTTTGACACAACTATCAGAGAAATGATCTGGGTAAAAAAAGAACAGATAATAAAGAAATGAAAATAATTCGATTTTGTTCGGGTAAATGGAGTTAAGTATTTTTTTGTGAAAAAAGGTGTTACATTACTAAGGGAGATTTATACGACGAAAAGTGTATTTTTCAAATATGTCTATGTTCTCACTGTTTGCGAATTAAGATCCACTCACAACGAAAAACATTAACGCCGTTAATATGAGGACATAAATGTATACTTTGAACGTAAAATAGACCTACCGTTCACCATGACCGATAGCGTAAACACAGCCGCTCATCGATATTGATACAATAAATCCACGAAAAAAAAATCTGTAAATAATCGAATGTCAAAGTAAGATGGTCGCGATCATCCTACGATTACAATTATTTATATGCAAATAACGTGTCGAATCGAAAAGCCGCAAACGATCTATGGAGCTTTCATGAATAATGAATGGCATTTTCTGTTCTCACCACCTGAATTAATATCTGTCTAAAGCCAACATTACAACTTCTTTGGATTCTGCTACGGTGCAGTATAGTTATTCCCAGAACACGTAAACGTTTACGTGAAAGCTTGCACATGGCGAACTTTCTTGGTTAAGTGGCCTGTGTTCGCCCGGGCGGATCGCAACGCGTCGAAGAATAGGCGGCGACTGCAGCGCTGATTCGGAGCGGCGGCGGCGCCTCGCAACGTGCATGTGGGAACGCCAGCACCTTCACACCCAACGTCATTGACGTTTGGGATAGGCTAGAGGTCACGACCACCGCCCGCCCCCATCACCCGGCGCTACGCGACAGGCAACTGCTTTCGGAAAGGGTGGAGCTTTCACTAGTCTATTGTAGTGATGCGACATCCATAACAAAACATCGACTAACAACCATCTTTGTTTTTAAACATGCAAATTTTGAAGCTGGTACAGTAACGTCTAATATTAAATTTGTGCGTAACAAAATTTAATTTGACAGTGCCCATGTTTACTATTATTAATATTTAACTGAAAAAAAAGTAAGAAGAAGAACAAAGGACAAAATAGATCGAATGCCTGGGAGTCATATCAAAAGGTGAGTCTTCAGTTCGTGGAATGAGAGTATGTGAAGCAGGGGCAGGCGCTACGCTCACGGCACATGTGTTTACCGTATCTCCATGCGCAAAATACGAAGACTTACGAATAACCAGGGCATCCGAGACATCTAGGTGAGAAGTGAGAGATAAGAGTAGATAGCTCGATTAAGGTAGTAGGAACAGCGGTCATTTTGTTCGAACAGAAATTAACAGTGATTTCATAAGTTATTATTTGTTATTTTAACTTTTACAATAATGGGAATTTTTCCATTCACACAGAACACAAAACATCGATGTCTCATCCCTACTGTAATGCTGATGAACATGACAGATTCGTGTTCTCGAATCACAGAGATTTATCCTCATGGTATCGTATCCTAACCAATTACAACTCTAATTGACGAATTCTATCAGAATCGTTATTATCATCACCATTACTCTTAAAAATGTAGAGAGACAGGCTGCATTGTTATTCCGCCCTTTGCAGTCTTCTTGTCAACTTTCTAACACTTCCCTTTTCTAACGTCTGCCGCTAACCCATCTCGAAACTTGTCCATCTCCTACTTCATACACTTCTATTTTCCCTTCACTTATTATTTCCATTCAATTCGGTCGTCTCTCGATAGGTGCTCCGATCAACATCATGTGTTGTATCACACACAGATAAAAAGAATGCATTCCCGAAGAAACTCCTGCAGGTGCGTGCGGCCTGTCCTTGGAGGTTCGCTCGTCGCCACTTCGCCCGCGGGAACACACGCCCCCGCGCCGCCGTGACTCCCGTCGCCCGCCCCATGCATAATGCAGCGCCGCCCGCGGGAACATCCGCCCAGTGCAGAGGTTGCGCGTCACAGGCTGACGCGACGCGCCACGGCACGGCACGGCACGGCACGGCACGGCAAAGCTCTTCGCGGCACGGGCACGCGCGGCCGTTTCAAAACGTTCGTGGAAAGGAAGGTTAACATTGAATTTACGCGCCCCTCGTGTGACAATTGATGCGACATCGATAATAAAACAACAGTCAGCAAACATCGATGTTAAAAATACATCGACTAAAATCCATCGAAATTTGTCAACATGGGTGTTTTTAGACTGGATTACTAACCTCTAACATTCAATTCGTGTGAATTACAATTTAAATTTGACAGTGTTCGTGTTTATCAATTCGACGAATAAGGGTATGAGAAGAAGGGGTAGATCCTACGCACACAGCACATTTGTTGACCATATCTCAATGTGCGAAATGCATATGAAGAAAGAGCGAAATACAAGGGCATGGAGGTCATCTCGGGGGAGAGTGTTTGGTTGATGGAGGTAGTGCAAAGAGCTTTCGTTTGGTGCAAACACATGAATAGCAATATTACTATCAGTTATTTCAAAATTTAACTTTTACAGTATTGTGATCATGGGATTTTTTATTCACCAACAAAATATCGGAAAAACATAGTTCACGAAACTTCGATATTAAAAGCATCGGTGTCAATACATTGATGTTTCTACAAAAACATCAACATCGATGTTGCATCCCTAGTGACGCATGAATTATGTGGTCGCTTTCTGCAAGAAGGTGCCGGTTTCGATTCCCGGTCGGGACAAAAATTAAGCTGTAGCTAATCACAAATAGTGCACACGTAAGCTTCCGCGGCTCGAATCCATAAATTCTCGGCTATCCGGGAGACGCCGCGTCGTTGGCTGGGAGGCCGACGTTTCGCCTGACATGTCGCAGGCTTCCTCAGGGCAGTGAGCAAGCCTGCGACACTGCACAAACACTATCACAAATAGTGTCGGTTTGTACAGCTGTGTGACGAAAGAAAAGGCAAGACAAGTGAGTTAGGTACGGTGAGAGGAATACGTCATGTTCGCCTAATGTCTCCCTGACTCCCAAGCGTGAATTAATCAATAAAAACAGGTCACATGCCAGGGAACACCGCTTGCTGGCAAAGGTCGGTTTAATCCAACCCCAAATACATGATTTGGATTTAATTAGGGTAAGAACTATTCAACACAAGTCTTTCAATGTGTAGTTTTGAATGAACTCGCATTAACAGCATGGAATTGAAAACATTTAAATAGTTTTTCGTGTCTTCAACGAATGAAAAGGTTGACGGACGAGCCGATGATAGAAGCAAGAGTCCTGCATTTTGAAACGAGTACGCCAGAGCCACGTATGTGTTGCGCTAGTTCGTTCGTGGAAACATGCAAGTGTGAGTCTTACGAACATTCACAACATGCGAGACGGCAGTCACGTTTATTTATGACGCACCGCCCTCTCTTTGTTGTAGACTCTTTGTCATTCCAAGACCGTCTGGGGTGAGGGGAACACTAGCAAAACAGCTTCACAAATGAAACTGGTTATAGCCTTCACGGATCAGCAACAAATTGAGAAAAAACACTTTCGAGCAAGAGTTTTTGCTTCCTTTTTTAATCATCTTGCATAGGAGAAAGTAACGGATACTTCTATAATACAAATTCAGTAGTCAATCCGTTGGCCATATACAGAATAGATAAATTATTTGACAGGTAAGCGATATTTATATATGATATACTTCACGATGATTTAATGCTCCAATTGGTGCTAAGAAAAAAGGACCCGCAGAAAATGTGCCACAAAATTTACTTTGTCTATCCGTAATTTCACATGGATGAATCAGGATTTGTAGGGTGCATCGGAGGGGTGTCATACTAGCGCACTGTCTGTCACGCTCCGAGGCTACATGCGCGGTGTTAAGATTATCAAGGGTGGATTAAGGAAGCATATAACTTCTTGGTTGGAAATGTTTTCTTAAAAATCCAGGAAGCGGGCGCAACTCGCTTTGAAAAAGGAAATAAATTAAAGGATTAGTATTCTCTGTGAGCTGTTTTTGAATGTAGTTAAAATTTGTTGTAAAGTAACACAGACACAGTAGAAACTATTTTGATTAATCTTTATGTCAAGTCATAACCCTCATGTGACACTAATTATGTTTTATGTAAATTGCAAAATTGTCATTTTTGTTTTGTATTGTTCACACACACACACACACACACACATTATATATCTCTATATATATCTCTATATATATCTATATATATCTATATATATATATATATATATATATATATATATATATATATATATCTTGATTTGTATTAATACACTCCATGTGAAGTGTATATTACGACACGAGATATCATACATTTTATCTGAATGTACTTATACCTATTACATTGAATTTCCTTCAGGACTTTACTTCTGGCGGTGTTAATTCCATACCCATTTAAATCTCATTTAACATTTTTCTCTGTCGGTAGCAGTTTCCCTTCCAGAGGTCGTCCCAGCAAGAAGGAACTATTTAAAGAGCGATGACTACAGAAAATTCCGTCGCATTGGTTTGTCAGCAAATATCGCCGTAATAGGTCGACAACCTGCAGTTCAATTTAATGAAGCTATCTCACAATAATAGGTCTTATGAAACGAGCTGTAACCAAGCAATAAAAGAATTATATAATAGGAAAAATAAACTGTACTTCACTTGATAATACCAGAGAGATTTTTACATGCAAATTTTGAGCCTGGTATAGTTAAAAAAAAAACGTCCTTTAAAAAATATAAAATTTTGTGCGTAAACAATTTTAAAAATTGAACAGTGGCCCCGTGTTCACTATATTATATTTAAACTGAAAAAATAAAAAAAAATAATAAGAACAAAGAAAAAAATAGATCGAATGCCTGAGAGTCTTATCAAAAGGTGAGTCCTTCAGTTCGTGGAATGAGAGTATGTGAAGCAGGGGCAGGCGCTAGCGCTCAACGGCACAATGTGTTGATAGCGTATCTCCATGCGCCCAAAATACGAAAAAGAACTTATCCAAAGTAACAGGCATCCAAGACATTAGAGTTGAGAAGTGTGAGAAGAAGAGTAGACTAGCTCGATTAAGGTCAGGTGAGGTAACAGATGTTCATATTTGTAATCGAACACAAAATTACCAACAGAGTGATTCCTAGCAGTGTATATATATTGTTCCTATTTAACTTTACGCAGTAATCGCGAAACGTTCCCGACCAACCATTCACAAGAACACACCTCGAAACAAAACATCCGATGTTATCCTACTGTAATGCCCGAGAAATGAAGATTTGTGTCCGAATACGGAGGATTTATCCTCATGGTTTTCCGCAATACATAACATTACAATCTGACGAATTTATCAGAATCATTATATACTAC